CATAACAATCGAAAAACCCACATGAAAGTTTGCGAATGAAAAAGTGCGACAGAACGTCAACTGGTTTGTCACTTTTGTGAAGAGGAACCAACATGTGTGTTTTCTATATAAAACAGAAAGTTAAAAATAAACATACTATCAGCAGAAAATTTATCTCTCTCATGGCTGAATCATCCAGGTTATCGATACGTTTTAACATAAACTCCACATGATTTAATTTTAATCTTATTTTAAGATGGTGGTTGTTAAGAGCAACATAAATGCAACTCCACTGCATAGAACAACGGGTGTGGTGGTTTCTAAGCAGTGTAATCAATGCCATGTACGTAAACGCCCTTTTGCCACAACAAACTTAATGGAGTAATGAATCAGCATGGATAAACCATTAAAGGATGCGCATTTTGTCTGTACAGCTTGTATAGAGAATCCACTTTCATAACCATATGCAGTGCTGTGCTATACCTGGAATGTTTACCGATTTCATCATGGATGTGATAAAGTGCGAGAGATCAGATGGAAAGACATGACCGTGAACGATTCTTATTTGCTGCGCTTTCATTATGGCACGTTCTGCAACCATAAATACGTCTACTTTTGTATAAGAAATGTCTCTAGTAGAGACGTGTGGTCGATTGCACTACTACGAAGGTTGAACTCTAAAAAACAACAATACGGCGGTAATACTTTTCTTTTGCAGTGTCTTTGCCATGTTAGATGCATTGTGTCAGGAGTTAATGGAACAACGTCAAGTAGTTCTTGTAGATTGCTTGAAATCCATGCAGGGTTACCCCGGAAACTGGACTTCCATTGCCAAATATCAATTCATTTTGCTGGATAGTGTTCTTTTGTTTTATCTGTTTTCATCTGTTATCGCTTTTGCTATAATCTGATGTTTTCATTGCTAATGGAACATCACTGTACTTGTTTTTCCAATGGGTGTTTAGTGTCAGTAAGTGAATCTGTAAATAACAGGTCGGGCGAGTTGGACATATCACTAAATTCATTGTAGCTGAAAGTCCAGTTTTAGATGCATAACTTATAGTCAACCCACTAATCATGTCAATATGTTAGGCTTGTCTCTAAAATGGTTTATACACACATATATATTATTTTGTTTCACTCTGATTGATCGTCACATACACTCTTAGGAAAAAGAAACGCATAACTGGTTTTGAGAATACTGAAGTCATATAGCGGCGGCAAAAGCAAAACAAATAAATTATTTCTTTCCAAAGCGTCACCTTTCTGTGATTTTAAAAAGCTTCGGCACCAAAATGCGCTTAGTGTAACCTTTTTCCTTGTTCTAGAAGCGCTTGGAGGAAGATTTGCAGAAACGTCACCAAGATAATATGCAAAGCTAAATTCACGTGCAAGCAAGCATCCAGTATCCATCATATAAAAGGCAAACGTTGCGTTCAATTTTGAAGTTCTATTTTGCCTGGAGAAGAGAACATCTTCATTGCACGACTGAGTGCCGCTAATCGAAAAATCGCCATTGGCCGACTTGAAACTGAGAGTTGCCTTCTGCAGGTGCCCGACGCCATATCCTGCTTTTGGGATCGTTTTCCTCAGACCAATCCGCCTAAGATTGCCCGAGAAGCGGCCGTTCAAGAGTTACCATTAAAGCCCAGGACCGCTACATCCAGGATGCCGTCTTGCCACAGCCGTGGAAACTACACATCGCATCCCAGGTTTGAGAAGCCCGTCTGACGAAATTCTGAGGAATCGATTGTGAGACATGGTGATTCAACAAAGAATACCTGTAGTCGCCACTGTTTTGTGAGACTCCTATTGGCATAATCGCTTGGGGTGCTGTCGTAGAGTCTGGAACTGGAATCTTAGAAACTGGATCAGTGATGATTCAGGATTTCTCTTCACCGGCGGCATGGAAGACAGCGTGTTTACCGTCAAATGACCCTAATTGCATTTGGCAGGTAGACAGACTCGATGGAGACAGTGTTATGGTGTGGAGTGCAATATCAAACACTCAAAGATCTGATTTAGTGGTGGTTCAGGGGAATTTGTACACATCAGTACAACAACGAAACCCTTGCAGCTCATATGCTTCCGATTATAAACCTACAAAGAAAGTTGTTCCAGCATGACAACGCTAGTTCACATGCAGCACGCATCACGGTCCGCTACGTCAACGTCAACGTCAAAACACGCCCAGACACTTCCACAAATGGATATCGCATTGCACGGATCAGTGATCATGATCATTGTCTTGTCTTTCCTAACGCAAACGAAGAGGGGCTGCAACAGATGTAACCATGTATGCATAACCAAGTGGCGTGAAACGGGTAATAAAATGATTACCAATCAGAGAGGCACAGGTATTTATCGTAGACAAATTCTTGAGAGAAATTGGTCTCTATCATAAATTGTAAGTATGTATATGTGTGACATTTGGCTGTGTTCAAATTTGGTGTTATGCTTTTTCTATTTGCAAATAGTACTGTAATGAAGAATGCGTATTTTAAGAAACCTCTTTGGTCTCGTCTCTATATGGCTGAAACAATGCCGATGCAACGTAAAGCCTCAAATCATTCATGGTAGATTGGCATACACACTGGAATGTACTCAAAACATTGGTAAGGCCCAGAACATCTTGCACAAGGTGATCCTATCCCCGCGATTATGTTAAGTCTGTGTTGGACTATGGTTGCGATCCTCGTGACGATAATATTGCCTTTTGCTAGTAGGCTCATTTCACGGGTGAGGAATCTCTTCGTGCCTGTCTCAAAATGAATCCATTTTGTTATTATTTGTAATAATTTGATTACAACCCACATGATTTTTAACCTGTGCTTGTCGAAAGAGGCGACTAGCGGGATCGGGTGATTACTCTGTCATAGTATCCCAGTCACGCGGATCCGTGATAATGATGTCAATTGCAGTATTGTTTGGTCCAGACACCAGTTATTGAAAGACTACCGCTATATAGATGGAATGCTGCATGTGGCTTTGAACAGCAAGCAGGGCGGTGGGGTAGCCTAGTGGTTAAGGCGTTGGCTTGTCATTGTTGGCTAAAGCGGCGTAAAACCATACTCACTCACTCATTCAACATACGTAGGAAATCATACATGAAAGTTTGATACACAAACGATGCCCATTAATGTTCAAATAATATACCACTTAGATCACGCCGTCCTCTCATATCAAACAGATCACCTTACATGACCAGTTAATAGCTTTTCCCTCATTATGTGATGACTGAAGATTTCACTACAACCGACATTTAGCTCACTTTGAATGTGATATTTTTGTTTCTGCTGATTTCAGCTGAAGTGTGAATCAAAATGTCAACGCGAGAGAAAAATCAGTCTCGAACAACTTCCCAAACAGATTCCAAGGTGCATGGAGTGAGTGAGTGAGCGAGTTTGGTTTTACGCTGCTTTTAGCAATATTCCAGCAATATCACGGCGGGGGACACCAGAAATGGGCTTCACACATTGTACCTATGTGGGGAATCGAACCCGGGTCTTCGGCGTGACGATCGAACGCCTTAACCACTAGGCTACCCCACCACCAAGGTGCATGGAACGGAAACTAGTGGTCGAGCTTATACAAATTGGGAACTGAGCCATTTGGAGATTCTTGTTAGGAATACAGGTCCCCAGCAACCCATGATGGTTGTAAGTGGTGACTGAATGAATCTGGTTATCAGCTTCTGCCGTCCGGTTGATGTGCATGTTGTCGTATCCAATCGCTAAGATTGTTGCTGTTGATGGTGATTATGGTGACCAGTCCGTCTGGTCAAAGCTTGATTATTTATTTACTTGCAATATCGATGACGTCGACGTAAAACACACATAACAAAGTGTGGGATGTGATCCGGTTTCGTTCACAGGATCAGGAGTTCGTTGGTCCGTGACTTTTCATTTTATGTCAAGTCTACGTAGCATAACACGTCGTGGTATTTACAAAGAAACGTTGCTATTTGAATCCGAAAGTGAAACGGCTTGAGGCATACCAGTAAGCGGCATACCTACTGATACCGATAGACAGTATTTACCGAAATGTGAGTTACTGAAACTGTATGGAGCAATATAACAGCAGCTTACAACCATCATGTGTTGCCATCGACCATTTTAACCCAGAATTCCCCAGGGGCTCATAATTCAGCTAAGATAAACCCTCCACATTTACTGTTATCAGTACTCGCGACCTCTTGGTTCCCTCATATAATGTTCACTGATAATGTCACAGAGAATGTAAACAACAATTTTGATACGTGATCGGTTCGCTTTTATGTACGAAGTATAACCACAGCTACTATGGTATACCAAAGTTCATCTCGACATGTACCTGATATATGGTCATGATTCGATCTGTCATTATGATCCTTATGATATCCGGAAATACAATATACACAGTGGTGAGTATCGGTTACATCAAATACACACCTGGTACCAACAAGAGACATCGGTTCCAAATACATACACTTGATGAAACAAAGACGATTTCGCCACGGTATTGTATTCCACGTTCATTTGTAGTGAAAGGGTCAAACTGGTACAAGGTATGGTGGTGATTTGATTTATTGACAATACTTAAAGTGCTATGATGATGGTTTGTTGATTTACCGTGCATTGTAATCGACTGGAGGTTGAAAATGAACGGTTACGTCAAATAGACGTACCTTACCTACAGCAACACAAACTTCACATTTAAAGTAATGTATATTGATAGGTAACCCCCAAAACCCCTACAGCTTATAACAACAAAGTTAAAGGTCCAGTGCACTGCTAATCTCCTGCCAGTTACCTAGTTCATACAATGGACCAGCCCAAACACTTAGCAAAATGAAAGACTGGTTGCAATGGATGATTACAAAATATTTTGACAAATGTTCAATAATACTGAACTTGAAGTTTAATTAACTGCATTAAATATCATAATGTCATGACATATTAAATGTTTTATGTTTATTTTTCTACATATTATTTGTCAACCTCAAGCAAATTGGTTTTGCCATGTTCCAGTCTAACGATCCCCATTTTGTTTGACTGTTTATCTTGGTACGCCCTGAAGAGTCTGCAATAAATGAATCACAAACTTCGGGAAACAAAATATGCAAGAAATATTTTGTGTGTTTGAGATAGGCAGCAGTCCGCTGGAATCAAACTTATATATTAAAGTGCATAAGAAAGCAATTAGAAACTACAGTCGCTTGTTAAAGTAATCTCCCCTTCATGTTGAGCTGGTTTTGGAAACACTACCCATCCCCATTCAAATGACGTAATCATAAGGACATTACATATTCCCATGTTTTCACTTATTCATAAAAGCAAGGAAAAGATATACTGAATGGTCACAGAAATGTCAGCCCTTAATATATTGTAAACAGTGACAGCTTGAATATATGGACACAGTCTTTGAAAGATTAAAATGAGGGTGTCCTTGAAAACAGTCAGCTTCTAAATGTAAATCAAACAATCCAAATCTTTGAATGTTGGTTATGACGGGTAGTCATCCAATACTATACTGAACATATTTTGCATGATATTATCTGAGAGCATATCGTTATCCAAGAGGTACGAAATGACAGATCGTTTTTAATTTTTGCAATTTCTAAAGAAATATCATACCCCAATGTGTTGTCATATGTGAAATTTTGGATATGGCTTTGCTAATAATTTCTTCAAAATAAAATTGAAGCTTTTCATAGATTAGACATCGCGAATATAGTTAGACTGACTACGTTTTGAACGCCGCTCGTATATACCACCCGAAAATTATCTCAAATTAGTTATGTCCTATTACAACTGATATTACGATTTGCAAAATCTGTCTACTCACTATGTACATTAGGAAGCTAAAAGAACTAGTTCAAATGAATTATTAAAACCCTAATAACAACAGCACCATCTTATTCCCTTCTCATTTGTATACTCTATGCAGCTTAATGCCACACTGTATACTCCACCCTGTAATCTCTCCTTTGGGTCAGTTCATTATGGCAGACAGGTAAAATCCCGTTGGTTGTTTTAACTAATTGTAGGGGTTTGGGGAGACTACCCATTGATATCCATTCAAAATTATATGTCAACTCTTTGATGTCTCCGGCCCTAATGGTTATTTTACATCATAAGCTTTGGACTTTGCGGGGACTGCAACTCAGAATTACAGAAACTGTTTCCTGACAGGATTTCCTTTTTCGGCAAATATAGAACGACAATTTGTTAAAACGTATGTTGCAAAATTAAATGTACGTAAAATACATTCATCATAGATGCATCTTTTCTCTGTTAATAACTGAATATGAGTGGAAGTATTGAACAGTAAGTGAGTGACCAAAAATAAGTCAACAAGCTAAGATAATTTGAGAAATTCTAATATTGATTATACTGTGTCCTAAACAACAGTTAGTTAGTTGCTTTATTTAGCGTCGCACGCACAACTAAGGTATTTCCGTCTTTTTGTTGTAGAGTAATTTTTCAGAGCTTGTATGGAGATTAAGGAATCCGTAAAATGCAGATGGTAGTGTTTGTTTTGTCAGATGTTTGCAAGGCCTGAACTATGGCTGTGAGTTCTGCTGTGAAGATACCGGAGTTTGCTGGGAGATTATAGGATTGTTTAAAGCTTTTTTGGAGTAGATACGCAAACCAGTATTTCCATTTTGGTCCTTGGATCCGTCAGTATAGATTTGTGAAGATTATCTTGTCGGTTTGTAATTTTGTTGTATGAATTCTTGCACTGTGAATTTATTAAGTATATTGTGTTCAGTAAGTTTTTGTGTTGGCCAGGACATTTGGCAGTAACACTGGAGGAAGAGATTTGTAATATGGGTTTTGTATCATATTGTTTAGTATACAAATCAAGTTGTTATTCCTGTATTTTTGTCCCAAATGGTTTGGGTATTTGCCTTTATTGATAATGATTTTATTTTTATTATTAAGAGATATATAGTGGTGTTCATTTTGTTTGTAACGGGGTTGTTAAGGGATCGAGTTTCATTGCACATCTTTCCCATTCGAGAGAGTGAGGTCTAGTTTCCCCATTCTACCAATAATGCTTGGAGGGATGTTCCTGGGAATGCTCCTGTTATACATTTAAGTGTTTAGGAATTGAATGGAACTGAGTTTGTTTTATGTGCTTGTGCCATATTTTGAAATATTTCGCAGCCATAGAGTAATTTAGATTTGAAGAGTGATTTATATAGTAGTAGTAATGTTTGTTTGCTACCCATTTTACCATGTAATAGGTATTAAATAAACAACAGTGACTTAGATTGAGTATGTACAAAAGTCTGAACAAACAAGAGTCCGTCATCGGGATGCTTTCTTGTCTACAGCTGTTATTGTATCGACAAAATAGTCTCAAATTCAATTACTCTTAATCATCACACAAAGGCGACGTTATTTTGGCATTGATATTGGCGTTTTAAGAAGAAACATATTCGGTTCAGGCTCATAACGCCGACCTTTCGACCAAACTTCACGGTTGAGTGGAAAACAAATATCGGCGTCCTGAGACTAGTTTCATTTTGCCAATTAATAAAGGATTACGAGGACAATGAAGGATCAACGAGTTGTTAGAAGAGGATAATCCGGATTATGCGGATGAGAGCACACCTAATGAGAAGACGACAACAGTATATGTTTATCTCAGTTTATTTCCATACTTGAAGCACTCATCAACAAACTCAGTTGACAGAGTTTAATATTATTTTACAATGATTCACATAAGTAAATACGTGACAATTTTAATAAAGACATCGCATATCCGATGCGTATTCATGATACATATAGCAGACATTTTTCCACAGAGATTGATCCACAGATTTTAACCAAAATGCAACAGGTGGAGTGCTGAATCAGCAAACTGTTTCACGGACAGTGTTCCTTGCCTGAGCTGGTGACGGATGTCATCCAGTCGTCGCTCCAAGTCCCTGTATTTCTTGTTCTTGGACGGACGCTTCTGGCCAGCAGCGTACTGGACCATCTTGTTTTCCGTGTTCGTCTGTTCTCGTGACAGGAACGGCACGATCTCGAAGATGTTTGGGTGAGCCTTGCCGACGTATCTCTTCAACCGTAAATGCCACCCTTCCAGGTGGTTGTTGGTTCTTATCCCATCTGAGTTGTGGTGGTTCCATATCGTTCCACTGCGATATGTTTACCTAATGCGACGAGTTCACCTTATCAAAACATCTAGAGTAGATTATCCGCAACCCTAATTACGCCTAATCAGAACCTAACCTTCATAGGAAACCGCAGGTCGGCGTCCTGAGACTAGTGGAAAGTCGAAGGTCGGCGTCCTAAGACGACACCCATATTCGGCCTCTGCCATCAGCTATGCTGGTTATACGCACACAATGCAGCAGGCGTTTTGTTTTATCTTCTCCTAAAAAAGTAATTTGATGTTGACCTTGCAATCATACCTTACAAAAGCACCGCCTTAAGCTTATGGTCAGGTAAATAATATATATATAATGCATCTCCCTGAATGTTTTAACTGAAAAGAAACCCCAAACAACTACTTTTGATAAAAGGAATTACCCTTAAGGTTACTATTAAGTTTGATGTTTATTTAAGCACATAAACGCAGCTGCTAGGACGAATATAACCTAGACATGAGGTGAGATTTTTTTCATATATTCTTCCCTACATTAAGACAAATGTTCCCTTGTGTTCACTGAAACACAGTATGGTGTCGCTTGTTAAGTAGTCTATTGTTCACGAGGTAATGATGATTTTGAACTTCATATGAAACAGATAATCCATAATAATTCTTTCTTCATATTTTTTCACGAAATATTTCACAGAATGTTTCTTTCACAACAAATCATGTATTTTTCTCATATCATATCCGTAATTTTGATTGAAAATGTCCAGAAAGAAAACGATTATATGAATTAACTACCTGAGGGTTCATTTCCATTTCTGTTTGTACCATTGTAACAGTTATTGGCCCGAAGACGACGGATATAGATTCAGGGATTTCTCAAGCACCTGCCAGAGTCTCTGTGATTGAGTAAATGCGGTTTTCTGAGGGGATGTGTGAATCAGCGAACATTAAGTGGTTTTAATTTTCTTCACAAAATCAATCGCACTGTTATGCCACGTGGTTGTTTTGTTGCATTTAGCAGGATGTTGGGCCGACCACATCACCTTTCTCAGACTCTCTCAGTCGATGCGAAAATAGCGATGCAAGACATTATGCACATAATTATCTTAGACTCCATTAATAATATGGTCATTAAGAAAATAAATGTGAACTGTCATATAAATTTGACTATACATATCCCTCCTGCGAAAAAAGAATAACTGGAACGCTAAGGCAATCGTCACAGTTACTGGTCTGTTTCCAATTGCGCAGTTCGATGCTAATGCTGTTGATCACTGGATTGTATGGACCAGACTCGATTATTTACAGACCACCTCCATATAGCCCGAATATTGCTGAGTGCGGCGTAAAACTCAACTCACTCACCCACATTATTTGGTATCAAATCTTTCACGGGAAATATACTAGTCCTTGATCGCACTCTGTAATCATTGCAAACTACAAGTGGGTATGAAATATTATTTGCAGCAAATAAAACAGAAACGTAATGTGGTGCCAGATCACAACAGGGAGTTATTCTGACTCTACAACATGAAACATAACATTACATGAGAAATGTCCTTTACAGTATCATTTGCGGTGGACCGCCTCCGTGTGGTAGTGGCTAGAGCGTCCACCCGGAGAGCGGAAGGTCGCGGATTCGCGGGTCCTTGTTGGTCCCTGCCTGGCGCTCGGCATTAATGGGTACAACAAGGACTGGTCGGCTCAGAGTCAGTATAATGTGTCTGAGTGGGGTATTCATGCTTCACTGCAGCATGTTATCTCAGTGGGCTAGCACTATAAAACCAGCTTAAGTCTGGGCTGAGTACAAGCAGCCGCCCATACACATACACACGCATGCACGTCGTCATATGAGCGAAATATTCTCAAGCACGACGTTAAACCCAATTTCACCTCACCTCACCTCATTTTCGGTGAATACATCTTTGTTGACGGCGAGGTTATTAACTGATACATTACATGAACTGGTTACACTCAGTTTACTTAGAAAACGCAAGAAGTTTGAAGATTAAGGGAAGTAAACCAAAGCTCGTCTGGCTTAAGTAGCCTGACCAGATGATACGGTACGCTGATTCTTTCATTAGATGGCAGATTGTCCAGTGTGTCGGAGGTGTTTGTTCTCAGCCTTACTGGAGCTGCCCCCAAAATACTCTGCTTTCAATATTGTAGACTTTTTTCACCCAGTTTAATAGAACTTCAGAATATGTCTTGAAACTATATTCTTTTGAAGCTCACCTAGATTTCGAGACACAGCCCATCTTCTGTCTTCGTATTTAGTTTTCGTGATATAAAAGCGTATTAAAGAAAACACATATACATATAGGAAACTACGGAATGTCTTCTGTATCTAATAATGGTATTATTTGGGTCTGTTTAAGCTAGCCACAATACAGAGGAACTTACATTAGAGCGATTTTTGAACAAATGCACGTTCATATTCCTATTTAGGAACTATTTCAATGCAGGATACATCTTTCTCCTTGTTTGCGTATCACAAACGAATAAAATGAAAATTCATTTTACGAGGTTTTTAAACTTAGAGGTAAAAGCGAAAAAAATACCATTGGCTTTTAAAGATCAATGAACTCACGGCATAAACATGTGTGATCATTTTCTCAAGTTCTGACGTTTATTCAGCTCAATCTCCACTGAATGAAAGCTCCAATAAACTCAAACACAATGAGACTCAATTCCTAAACTCAATCTACCATTCCAAAGGACTGAATACGTAGTGTACACTTTCTGCTACATGTTTCATGTAACACTTGCCATTTACACCAAGTCCCAAAATGGTCCGAGCATATATGCCCTATCACTGTAAACATCCTCTCTGAGAATACAATGGGCCAAGGATTCAGAAACAGCAAACCCATGAGCGCTTCTATCATTGGTGGTACAAGCTTTTAGTTGAACGAGCTCCAATCTGCTTTACACAAAAAACAATAAGAAAACATAAGTATATGTATTTACATGTTTTAGGATCAATTGAAAGTTATGATTTAATTCGTTTGCAATATTATTTATTTTACTTTGTTTCAACTACTGAGCCTCGTTTGCTCAACCAAAATGAACATTTTCTGATACTGTGATGACGTCACAATTTGAACAATCCATAAGATTGATGGTTTGCTTGTTTATAATGTTTGTAGAAAATACGTGAACTAATTTTAATTATTTTGATTCAGTCACTGACCTTGTTCTTGCAGTATGACGACGCTTCTTTGGCAAAATATACACGGACCTTCACCGCAGTCTTACCAAGCAATACGAAACACATGTCTATCGTTTCCATGTTTAGTTAAAGTGAACTTTTGTTCTTTGTGAAAAAAAACAACATGTTGTTACCAGACCTAGGCGATTGTTCAAACATAAATGGAACTTAACAAACGCCTGTAAATACCACAGCTAACTTTTTAAGAAATGAATAAAAGCGTTTACGCCTTTACTAAAACATCCATACTTCACTGTGTACACGACACAGACACGCGAGATAGTTTTGGTCAGTTATTTAATTCATGAAAACAAGATCAAGAACGACACTAACAAATAAATATGTCCGTGGAATCCGGTGCCTGTGATAAAATATTCCATTATATCATCATGTCTACGTTTCTTATTGGAATTAAATTATATGTACTCCTGTTTTTGTAGTTTTAGATTGAAAAATAGCATTCTCTAATAATGGCTTTCCTCCAGAGTAATATTGATAAAGTTTAGCTGAATTCCAGTAACTGATGATAACCGGTATGTATAGAGGCATAATTCAAGTGTTCTTCGCTCGCCTGGGGGTTGTCTGGTTATCGTTTAATACTTGCAGGGACTCTCATATACAGTCCAATACAGAGACACACACCGACCTTCTGATAAGGACTCAAAACACCATGTCAGTATATGAGTTGCTTCATTTTCCTGCTGGTGGAATTTGCCATCGGCTACAACAAATAAGCGATATCAAGCTTCCTTTTCACAGTGAAGGGAGGGATATAGAGTAACCATCTGTTATAACGAATCTTTCTCATCAACAACTGGGACATATTATAGATGCATTATCTATGTCCGTTATCAAATGAACACACAAGCTGTGGATTTGTTTGTGTAGTTAAAGTAGAACATAAATTGTTATCAATCAGTCACAGATAAGGGGAATTTGATATGACGACCTCATCATAGATCACAGATGAACACATTTGATTTGATAAGCGTCAGGAAACGTTCAGTACCCAGAAATAATTAAGTCTCTACTAGTAGTATCTCTGGAAGAGAGATGTGATGGATTGCATTGCTGCACGTGTCCTTACTTTGACATTACTATCTGCTCCACCAGGACCAGTGCAGTTCGTAAGATGCATTGAAAAAATTGAAGGGGGTGACAACCATTATTGGCATGAGTATAGATATAGCCAAGACAGTGTTTCATGTGTGAATGGAAAGGACAGAGCGATTGTATGAACGTTCCGAGCCATCCTACAGCTGAGAAGTTAATTTACCCGTTGTCAACTGAATGTATATGAATGATTAAAATGTATTAGCCTTTACGTTTCAAGAATCCGTTGCTCTAGAAAAGTATTACAAACAAATTATCTCCATTATGTAAAGAGTATGTCATTTCTTGTTTGATTTGCACCCAGTATAAGCTGGGTGTGGACTGAGGGCCATGGATACAAAATAGGCACATTTCAACTCGGTTCATGGGAATCAGTTTATTGGACAGATATTGACACTGTAATACCATATTTCTAAATAGTTTTAGCAGGTGCATGGTGGAAGATTGAATTTGTAATTCCTAGGATTATTGCAATTCATAACAAGCAATTCTTATAAACATTTTGCAAAATGTAAAATTTAAGCTAAACGACATTTGATAATATTACATTTCAGGTCAACTCTATTTCAGTTAATGTACCAAAGTTATTGTACAAGATATTGATCTGGCGTTTGACATACTGAAAGTCAACTCATGTCAATATTCAATATTTCAATATTAGTGTTTTACAGGCGCTTACTTTACAGAATAAGACCTTACCAGAAACAACAATATTTGCATGGGGCGCCTATGTCTTATGTTTCCGAAAATTTATATTTCATCGGTTCTCTAGACTTGAAATCTCTACCAATAGACTTATCTTTTCCTTTTTATAAAAAAAAAATGTGAATTAAGTTTGTGCCACTCAGTGCAGATGTTACATCATCTCACAATGGCGTTCGTTTGACATATTGTTGATATCTGATCAGCGACTGAACAATATACTGCATACGTCTAAACGGACACTTATCGTGAGAAAATGTTATCTGCGGTGATTAGATGTATATTGCCGGGTCAGCGTTTGCGTATTTAATACTCTCACTCTTCGTAAATCCTCTCATGAAGGGAGTTAGGTTCAGCAGATCGTGTGAAGATGAGCATTGTTGTATTGATAGACAACTTGTTTATTGCCACAGATACAACGTCTCGGTGTAGATGCTGCACCGTTATCCACCACCTAAATCCCAAAATGTCGCATCTATAGCAATAAACAAGTTCTCTATCCACACAACGATGATCCTCTTCATGATACCAGCTTCGAAGATCTTGTAAAGGCCAATTTTAATTGCTTAGGCATTCTCAACGTACTGCACCACCCACTGCTTAATCTTAATATTTTTTTTATATTTCATTGTGGTGTTAATGTTGAGTTACGTTTTTGTGGCTTGTGTAAATATTTTTAGCAAGGAAAATCGTTGACCGGGATCCCAACAGAATAACAAGTGTTTGTCCCAAACAGTGACGGTTATTTGACACATTTTCTTCAGTTATACTCTAGAATACTGCAAAACCGTTACTTGGATACAGGATCGACATGAACAAAGGAACGTTTTTATACTCAGAGAAAGAAATAAAGGAACATAGGAAAAGTCAAGCGTGTTCATGTATAAAGATGTGTTCCCTTCTTTGTTTCCCTCAGTATATATGTTGAGTCACGCCGTCTTGCTGAGAAGGATGAAGTTTTTTAGTGATGCTGTGTTTTTTTCTACTTGGTTGTACCAACACCCATCAATACAGAGAAAACTAATATCTGTGTCTTTTCATGGGGATTTATATCGATTATGTTTCACATGTTGGTTTCAAACTACTGAAGCGTGTTTAGTTTTTAGTGATCATTTCCTGAGATCGATTTGGTTTTAGCTTCATAAAACGTCTTCTTGGGAAGATTTAGATGTTAAGACAGACAAACTTAAAACAAGCTGTATTTAAGAGAATATTACCTTACCACTTCAAGAGCTGCACTCAGTTGTAGTATCTTTGTGCTTGTCCGCTTTTATAGTGATGTTTCTCTGGCAAATGCCTAGTGGTCGTCGAAGACGGAGTATGTATAAGA